GACGGACGGACGGACGGACGGACGGACGGACGGACGGACGGACGGACAGACAGTCACCGCTTAATCGATTTCTCTTTTCATTCTGATCATTTATGTATACATTTGTCTATATCTATCTCGATTCGTTTTGCCTGTTACAAACAACCGTTATGTGAACAAAGTTATAATACCCTTGTGCACAAGTGCGCTCGGGTATAAAAATTACGGTAAACTTCGTTCAAGCTTTCGTTAAGTTCTCATCTTTTTAATTTGCTCTCTTTTGCTCCAACTCTCACTCGCACGTGCGCTCAGCGTCATTGGGCTGCAATTCATTTTAGCTTGTTTGCTTTGACAACCCCACCCACCATAGTTGCCGTATTTATTTCATTTATCTTGTTCTTATTTAAAAGGATTTTGTGTACATGCTAAGAGCTTATATATAAATACATACATACATACAACACTTACGGCACTTAAGCAAGTGCACAACAAGTATGTATATTCATGTATTGTTGCATTTTAATCCTATTTTAATTTATTCCGTTCTTGCTGAATTCTTTTAACAAGCAACCACATTGTAACAAACCAATATGCTATATGTACTATTACATACATATGTACATATGCACGGATTTATGCACACATGTTCATACAACAACAAAAACTGCTTACCACAGCTCTGAAAGTGTCCGAAATTATATGAATATTTTTCTTTCATTTTTTTTTTTTAGAAAACCCATAATTATGTAGCAAGTACGCCCATTTTTATATTTTTATTCTACTCCTTGCAGCCACTGTGTGGTATACGTAATATTTGCCGCTACGTTTTGGAGGTGAATGCACGCAGCACAAAAAGATGCACTCTAACCAAACAAAAAGCTGCAGGGAATGTGTACAATAGCACGCTGGTAGAAAATACGAGAAAAGGAAAGCGAGCTCTCAATGAAAGGAATAAATGCAAATAACTTTTAGGTAATTTCTTTAAGTTCGAAATTTGTAAATCCCTCATATTTTTTTTTATTTTAATAAAGGAGTCGCAAGCAAATTAAAAGGCAAAAAAACCCAAATTAAGATTACAAATTACAATTTATGCATCTGATGCAGGACACAAAAAAAAACTGACGGGCGGCATTAGATGGCTATAGTTTAATTGCATTGTTGAAGAAAGGCCTATTGGAAAAAGGTGAGACCGTCCACGAAGCTAAGACCAAGACCATTGTACATCGCCATAAAACGCCTACCGGTAATAACACCAGAGCAAAAACAACCAACTGCGTGTATTTTGTTGTTCATTTGTACTCTAAAACATCAAAAAAGGTTTCAAAATTTGAATTTTCTCTAGGTATCCAAACCTTTACAATTTTTATAACACAAAAATCGGTCACTAAAAAAATAAAGTCCCAAAAAGTTCGAAAAGTAAAAAGAATCCTAAATTGTTGTCCAGGAGGTGCTGGGATCAAAGCAACATGGTTAACTTTATTCTACAATATTTTGCGCCGGGACTTTTATAACATCGAAAAAAATAACTGTTATTTTCGGCCCCTACTTTTTACAGACTAATTTTGCTCAACTTTGCTTTGTTCATCGGCACTTTTTTTGGGGAAAGTTTGGGTGCCCAATGCCCGCTCCAACTTAGCCAACCACCCTGACGGTTGAAAAAAATTAGTTATAAATTTTTTTTTGTTGACAGGGATATGAAATTTATAAACAAAAAACTTTTTTTCACGTGCATCAAATACATACAGTGACGAACAAAAATATATGCACAGAAATTTTTTCGCAATGTATGCAAAGCCGCCTCTTACTTTCCTACGGGCAGGCGATTTGAATGGACGAGATCCAGAGTCGCGCTGTTTGACCTTTCTATCTAATAGCCAATGTTCTGCAGTGATTAAGTAGCAACCTTTTCAAGATACCAACGTTTTGACAATTTTTATTTAAGTTGGTAGTTCATTGAAACATTTTAATCCTTTATGTTCTTAAGAGAATATAGTATTTTAAACAAAAATAATTCACTCCGATTTTTTTTTTTTTTGGTGGTGTAATCCCTTTAAGAAACTGTAAAAAGATCTGAACAATTTGGATATAAAAAGACGACCGCCAGATTTTTCACAGTTCATCAAAAACTTGAACGAATAGACATTACTAAACCATTTGACCAACCCGATGAACTCTCCTAACTTTTTGCTAACTCAGCGCTGCCAGACAAACGATCTTAACTCAGACGTACATGTATATATTTTTTGTGTAGTATTTTAAGATAAGCTCTGGAGTTAAGTTTGCAACCCATTTCGGAACGAACTGTAATTGCACACTACATTCAAAAACATTCGGGCCTCACTGCGTAAGTCGTAGATTAATTAGGCTAAATTGTAAGACACGACAACATTGGCATTGCCTACTTTCGTGCTGAAATAAGTAAACGGCGAAAATCATTGAAAACTATGCAGTGCTGCCAAGTTTTTCCGTTTTAATACACTAGTAGGAATGTTCGATATCGTATCGATTATCCTGAATATCGATATTTCATGGCACGATAATCGATTTTTTGAATCGATATTCCAAGGTCGATATATCGAAGACATCGATACTTTACCCGCAATATCGATATTAAAGTTGAAATTTATTTTTCATCTACAAAAACGTGTATGGGAAAATACTAAAGTAGCAACTTGTGGGATTTATTTATTAAGTTTGACAAACCGCTTGAGTCGTAAGTAAATCCTCAGTAAATCTACAAATTGGAAATAACACAATTTAATATTCTATTCAATTGGGAGTAGGATTTTTCAACATCGATTTTTTCGATATCGATATTGTTCAGCCCGATATATCGCCATATCGGTTTTACATGCAATGAATTAAATCGATTCATGATATCGATACTTTCTTAAATATCGAGCATTCCTATACACTAGTCGAGTCGAAATTTTAGGCAATGACATGAAATTTTTGATACGATTCGAGTCTCGAAAAACGACTTGCATTCGACACGACGCTCGCAATGAGGCTGATATTTTAACACCTCGTTCCCAGCGCTCATGTCCGAAACTCTCAGCAAATTTTACAAAGTATTATTCGAAATCCGTAGAAAGGCGATATCATGAGTAACCCTCCCAAACACCCTCTTAGGCAAGACACAAGTCTCTAATTTTCTTCTTTCTGTTGCCTTTACCATCATTCTAACAAAACAATAAAACACAAATTTCTGTTATTTACTCCATAAATTTATTATCATTATAAAAATCGAAACTTAAACATGTATGTCAAATAAAATCTTACACTAAATTAAATTTATTTCAATTTTCAATTACAAAAATATTATTTTATTTTTTTTTTATTTCATATACATTTTTCATTGCAGTCACTAAAAATATGCTTATTCTAGCAGTAATTCATTTTAAGGTTATGAAATGTAGGAATTATACTCAATACACTGCCTTGCAATGCATATTCAACGTGGTAGAAGTAATTTCGACAGTTCTCTTTTTTAAACATCGAGTATAATATCAAACACAAAGTAAAATATTTCAAATCGTGTTGCAGAATTTGGTTTAGTTATGAGCGTGTTTCTTTATTCATTCCAAACGTTCGGAATACATTTTTGTTTTTGCTTCTGATGGGAGAGAAAAATAGCTTTGTTTCTTTACCTTTCTAGCAGATAAATATCAGGAAGAAGAAAAATAGAAAAATTGACACATGATCGGTATTTTTGACAAATGAAAATATTTGGCGTGGTTTTTTTTCAATTCATTTTATATTTCAAAAGTATTCACAAATACTTAAATTTTTCAATAAATAGCAACTGTGCTTGTTTACGTTCCAGTTTCCATTTAAGTGGCAACAGCTTTTTTTCAAATGCTGAGCAGGAATGTGGTTTTTTTGCCATCCCGTAATTCTGGACATTTGGCCATTTTTGAGAGCAAGGTTATACTTACTCTATAATTAGCGGATCCAGTCCAGGTTGTACGGGAAAGAACCTAAAATTTTTACTAGCAGAAAATAGCAGGAGATAACAAAAAAGAGCGTAAAAATTACAGCTGCTGGCTTCTGTTAGTTTTTTGTGTAACAGTAACTGGTGATAATTAGTGACAACAAACAAAAAACTAATGTTGCATTTATTCTGTCAGGCCAGTCAAAATTTGGTGTTCTGTTCTCAACATGTTGACCTCTGGCCCGACAAAAGTGAATACTTTCTACCCTTGTTAAACTGTAGGGATGTAATACAAAAACATCGATGCATCGGAAACACGAAGTGAATTAAGCTTTCATTAAAATTCTATTCGATTTCAGATGATGAGTGCCGGTTGATGATTAAAAAATATTCATTTTCAGATCAAATATTTAAACTGTATTTAAATGTCCAATGTCGGCTATTTAAATATGGAAAATGCAAGCCTGATTTTGAATATGAATTCATGATTAACTTAAATGTAATTTACAGCCAATTTTTCGAAAGCAATTTAAATGAAAAATGATTTTAATTTTTTGAATTGTATATGGAAATTGGCAGAAAGCAAAAAATCATTTTCCATTTAAGTTGCTGGTGAAACCGGCTATTAATTTTTGATCGGAAATTGACCATAACAGGCTAACCTAATATTCACGCGCGCCGCCAATTTATTGTCAAAAATTTCTCATGCACATGCAACTTGTATGGGACCAACCGAAATTGGACGGCGTGCGTATGAAGCTAACTCAATTTCCAATTTTTGTTCTGCGTGACATTTTGATTTGACGTTTCGTACAATGAAATCAAATGCAAACGCACGCAAGACAATTTCGGGTCACGCATAAAAACAAATTCCACGGCATGCGTACCAAAACGCAAGCCGCGAATATTAGGTTAGCTTGTAAGTTGGCATTTTAGGCGATGCATCGAAAATATCGCTTGTTTTTATACGACATATAGAAGTGCATCGATGCATCACAACGAACGGGCAGAACTTCTGGAGAGGGGAAGCGGTGAACATCCTTCACGGATGGATCGAAACTGGACGGCAGGGTTGGTTGTGGGGTCTTCTGTCGAGAACTCGCCATCAGCACTAAGTTCAGGCTCCCGGACTTCTGCAGTGTATTCCAGGCCAAAGTGGCTGCTATCAAGGAGGCGGCGGATTCACTGCTCCGGAGTGCTATGACAGTCAGGGAGGTGAGTATTTATTCTGATAGCCAAGCGGCTATCAGGGACTTGGGTGCGCTCTAACTTGGTTGACGAATGTCTTCTCTCCCTTTCGGTCGCGTCGGAATACTTCTGTATTAGGCTTATTTGGGTCCCGCGTCACAGCGACATTGCGTGGAACTGCATGGCTGACGAAGTGGCCAGGAATGGCACACGCGAAACATTATCGCAGGATAAAGAGCGGCTGGGGATGCCATTGATCACCTGTGGTACACTCTTGGATAGATGGGCCTCATGTCAGCTCAGCGAGCGCTGGGCAAACACCAGGGGCCTGTTTCATAAAGTGACAGTGATAATTTTGTAACGACAAGCATTTCGACAGCTTGGTGGGTGTTTTGTTTTATAAAAACGATTGTCACCACCGCTTCAATTCCATGAGAAAATTCATTGAAAAAGTGACAAATTGTCATTGTCGGGTTTTAAAATAGCCGTTTGCCAAATTGTCGCCAGTCATATGAAATGTATATCGATACCGATAACGATGTATATTCAATAACCTCTATCTGCAATTTTCACAAAAACAAAGTAGTTTGCGTTCCAGATGCTTCACGATTTGCAGGTTTTTACAGAAGGCCGTTCCAGGTGACTACCTTCCATAAGGTTTATTAATGGAGAAAACAGCTGTTCCTGCAAATCCTACTGAATTACTAGTTCCATTTCAGAACTATACAATGAACAAGGCACTCATATCGATTCAATGACTCATATTCTTGCTTTCGTACAAATCGAAAATTTTAAACTTTTGTATAGAAAATGATAAGAATATTTCATGACTTTCGGTTCGTACGAAAACGAGAATACGACCCAATGTTTGAAAGCATCGTATCGCACCGGTATACCGCATCTGTTTGAGCACTCCCATACGTTACGTTTTAAAGAACTAGGACCTAGACCTAGACCTACCCATTAGATAATTTCAGGAATTAAAAGCCCTTCTGAAAGGCCTTCCTGAGAGTCAAGAGGCCTTCCGCTCTACATCAGGGAATGGCATTGGTTGATCGTCAACTGTTCATACTCATTCAATACCGCTGCTTTGTATGACTGAGCAGCGGCGTTGGCTTAGTAGTATCGATACCTAAACGAAATTAGAGGATGACTGAACACGAGCGCATTGCGTGCTGTCAGCCACCACAAGTGAACGATGCTTATAACTGCTCATACGGATATTGACTTCGGCAAATCTGTACTCTGAATGATCGTGCACGAAACCAGCAAACGTGGCAGTTGAACGGCTCCGAAAACATGAGAGTCATCATTTGTTGCAGAAGTCGTTTGACTTGTTGCTGAAAATCATCTGACTTGTTGCTGAAAGCCATTTGACTTGTTGCTGAAAATCATCTGACTTGTTGCTGAAAATCATCTGACTTGTTGCTGAAATGACGACGAATGTGGTAAAGGGTAATTTATCGTCTCGTATGCATGTATGTATGTATTTATAGCGCGTCTACCATTCAATTGCATTGCTCACTGCTGGCTAGTTGTGAATATGCATACGTACGTAAGTATGTATGTATGTACATATCAATGCTTCATTTCAAACAAGCAAGAGTCTTTGAATGTTTTTGAACTACAGTATCATCACTTCGGCAACACGTCAAACGCGCCTTCAGCAACAAACCAAAGGCGGCGGTTTGACTTCTGCAACAAATCAAGTTAGCTAACTGCGGCATCTTGCCTTCGCCAGTCTTTCACATAAGCTGTCATGCTTTCGGCAACCGTCCAAAGCAGTATCGTGCTTTTGGCAGTCGATCAAATACGGCGGTTGCTGGTTTCGTGCACGATCATTCGGAGTACAGATTTGCCGAAGTCAATATCAGTATGAGCTGTTATAAGCATCATTCACTTGTGGTGGCTGTATTTGCAAGACAGCACGCTTTGCGGTGGTGTTCGTTCATCCTCCGTTTTTAACGTGAGTAGGCTTAAAGTCACAAAAACAGCACCCTTTGCCAATGTCTGCTCTACATTCCTTTCTCCTTTCTTTTTTGTATGGAGTGGCACAAATTGAAGGGCTTCTTCTTTCGCTACCCATGGAAAGCCTTCCAGAAGGGCTTTTAAATGACGTACTTCAGAAGGCTTTTTGGAGGAGTTCTTTTAAAGTTGCTTCTACAATTTATAAAAATCATACATCCTTGAAGGATTTGCTTAAGGTTTATATCAAATATGTTATTGCAACTTAAAATGATTATTGAAATTTATTTGTAATGGTAAATAATATAAATGAATGCATTCGCGTAAACTGGAAATGGATAAGCCCTTCTAGAAGGCATGCAAGGAAGCACTTTTTTCAGCCCTTCTTGGGTAGGCCTCTTAGAATGGCTTTACTTAAGAAGGCCTACCTACATTATTTTTTGGGTCCTGAGAGTCAAGAGGCCTTCCACTCTACATTCCTTTCTCCTTTCTTTTTTGCATGGAGTGGCACAAATTGAAGGGATTCTTCTTTCGCTACCCATGGAAGGCCTTCCAAAAGGGCTTTTATAGGACATACTTAAGAAGGCCTTTTGGAGCAATTCTTTTAAAGTTGCTTCTTTAATTTATAAAAATCATACATCTTTGAAGTATTTGCTTAAGGTTTATATGAAATATGTGTTATTGCAACTTAAAATGTTTATTGAAACTCATTTGTAATGCATTCGCGTAAAATGTAAATGGATAAGCCCTTCTAGAAGGCATGCAAAAAGCACTTTTTTCAGCCCTTCTTGGGTAGGCCTCTTAGAATGGCGTTACTTAAGAAGGCCTACCTAAATTATCTTCTGGGTAGGACCTAGAGTCTAGGTTACACCAGGTTGAAGATATTTCACAAAATTGTGTTTCATGAGGATTTTGCTTCCTCTAACTTATAGCCCAGTTATGCATACTTTGCACTGCTCATATGAGCGATCATCGTGAGAATAACTATGTATTTCTTCTTCTTATTCGGCACTACAACTAAGGGCCGGTTGTTCAATGTCTGATTAGCACAAATCGGGGGTAGAAGCTCCGGTTAGATACAACGACTGCTTTATCGATCACATGTTATATGCATGATGTCGAAATCGTCGATAATGATGTTTAACCGGCAAGTAGTGATAACCAGACATTGAACAACCGGCCCTTATACATGTTCAAAAGTATTTAATTATTTGTTTAAATGGATTCTAATGAATTTGGAAGCGAATTTTTATTTTACGTACGTACAGGGCTTATAACTACGGGCCTTTGACTTTTTTAGTTCAGGAATATCCGACTTTGTACATATGCAACAATTGACGTTTAGGAAGACAACCATGATTGCACAGAATAGCTCTGATCCAATACTTTTCGTGTAAAATCCTGTAAAAATGTCAAACAGCAAAATTACTCTCTGAAGTGAGAGTAAAAAGTGAGTAACAACAAAAAACGTCAAACAGTAATCGCTTGCACTTTTCATGATTTTACCAGAAGAAAAAGTTCGGGTAAAATCTTGCAACTTCATTCTCTACACAACTCTCCAAAAATCGCTTTCATTTACAGGATTTTGAAGGAATTTGAAGTACGGGATCATCTTTCCTGCAAGTTTCTGTAAAAATCTGAAGTTTATGGAGTACTGGATCAGGGCTAATCACCCGTATGCTGTAATCCGAATCTTCGAATTCATTTTCATTTGGGGAAGAATAGCTGAAATTTGACAATGGCCCGCTAAAAGCAAAAACAAAATACAAGTAATTGTTGTATTTGTTCAATCGATACCACCTTATATGTATTCGCCTTGGATTTAAGCATACCAATTTTACGATTCGTAGCAAAATCGAATCTACGACGGATTACAGCATAGGGGTGATAAATTATAAGCTTTTTTGGGAGGAAAAATTTGATCACATTTCAGAACTATTTATCCGATTCTTGGAAGGCTAAAGTCGAGGCAACACTGATTGCTACTTTTACTTATTTTGGTTTGTGAGGGCGATTCCCTGAAATATATATTCGATTTGGTTTCTGTATGTTAATGGTTAATTTTTGCTGGCGAAGCAAATGAATAATATTATTTTTTGGATAAAAACATGTTGCAATTTTTTGAATTAATGAAACTCTGTTTGCCCAACATGCATAACTAACAAATAGTAAGCTTTAACTCTCTCCCTCAGTACTTTCAATATCTATAAATATTTAACTATTACTAAACATTTTGAGACGGGCTTTCTCTAAGTAAACTCGTAATTTTGTTGTAACAACATTAAACATGCCACTTAATAGTTAGGATATGTTTGCCGAGGGCCTTATTATCAATTTTAATATAAAAAGGTATGTATGTGTGTAGATGCGGCTGTTGTGAGTTATATTTTCAGTTCATTGTTCGCTTCTTCTCATATAACTCTTTTGGAGTGCATAACTGCGATTCCTTTTTACGAGTAGGAAGAGTTCCAACTTTACGGTCCATACTTTTCGTAGCACGCCAATTACAATTATTATTTTGAATTTCGTTACTAACACCATTT